CTTTCTTTCTTTCTTTCTTTCTTTCTTTCTTTCTTTCTTTCTTTCTTGTTATAATGCTACCCAAGTCTGTTTTGTTGTGTTCTATTCTCGCATTTCTTTTAAGAAATGAAAGACAGAATACAGTCACCACAATAGCAAATTAGTTGAGTGCCTAAGATGACATTGTTACTTCAGAATTTGGACCCTAGGATTGCTCACTGGGATTTTTAACTTAAGAATCTGAGATAGATGAATTCTTTGAGTTGATGAGTTCACAAAGGAAGTGAAAATGTGGCTAAATCAGAAAGGCATTTTACTGTAATCTCTCAGAGCATTGAGAGAAATTGAAATAATGTGTTTGGGCTGGCTTGGAATACCACTCCTGACAGAAGAGAGCCAACCTGAAGACAAATTATTAAGGAATTTTGCAGTCATTAAGTTAGACCTGTAGAGCAGAAGTAACCAACCTCCAGGCTGCGGCCTGGTACTGGGCCATGGCCCATTCACAATCAGGCCACGGGAGCAGTAGGCAAGTGCATGGGTGCAGGAAGCTCCATTTGTGCAAGTGGTGGGCATATGCACCTGCCACTTGCGCAAATGGAGCTGAGCATGCGCACACACATGCTTGCCACTCATGTGGGACCATTCCTTCTGCCCCCGTCCCTGCCACCACCAATCTGCAAAGACAGAAAGTTTGAGGACTGCTGCTGTAGAGAGATTGAAATCTATGCTTAGAGTTTAGTTTCCTTCTCCTGGCCTGTTTATCGAAAAGAGTTACAACATGCCACGGGAAGGGACAGAAAATATGTTGTCTGTTTTCTTCAGGTTCATTTCCCAAGAATGCATGGTAAAAATACTTAAAGTAAATGTAAGGCTTTTTGTTTTTTTTTTGCTCTGAACTCTGCAAACTCAAAATTGGTGATATTTAAGCCCATGTTTAAATCTCCTGCTGTAATAAAAAGAAATAGCTTGATTAGGCTGCTGACCATCAGAGACCATGGAGCTCAGCCCTTGGCTCTTCATTTGTTGTTGTGAGATTCTAGCCATTATCTATCAAAAATCACCTTGAACTCCAAAGCTCCATCTCTGCTAAGTCTGTATTATTAAGCCATTGTAATATAGGTTTTCAGCTTCCAAGGGTTTATCTGAAAAGGAATGCATCTCATGGTGAGAGAGAAAAAAAAAAAAGGCACAGTAGCTATTTCTCCACTGAACCCAACCGGGCTGTTTTTATTGGGAATAAAAGAAAAAGAAAGCAAAACAAGCAAAATTTGGTGAATTCTCTAAAGTTGTGGTTCACTGTGCCCATTTTAACCAGAAGAAAAGGAAGACATTTTGTAAATAAACTTGATATCTATGCAAGTTGATCATGCTGATTATTGATCATGCAATCTTGGTATTGAGCCAAGTAACACAGACGGGTACAGCAATTTTCTTTTTCTTTTTCTTTAAAACAAATTTTATTCAATTTTTCACATAAAAACAAAAATCTCTTTTTAGTGGACAACATATTTCCGGGTTATCACTTTTACATACAAATATGACAATAGTTATACATTCATATATGCATACTTAATTCTATTATTACCTTTTCCATTCCAAACTTCCAGAAAGGAGAGAAACAAGCAAATTAATCTCAATCAAAACATCTTTTTGTTTCATTTCAATTATTTCAAATATAATCCTTTAATATTTATTTAAAAAATAAAAATAACAGTATATGTTTGCCTAATAATAAAAAAAGTTACCGATGTCTCTCCTTCCTTTTAATAGTCTGTATTAGCTGATTAATTTAAGTAGTTCTTTAATCTGTCATATTTTCTTTCCATCACACATTCTTTCTATAGATTCTAGATTAATACAAGTTTTAACACAAAAGAAAAAGAAACAAGTATGGGTTTCCCCCCTTTTACTGCTTTGAGTGTGATGCCTCAGTGGTGTCTTAATTCCCAATAAACCATTATTTTTAAGTAGTTACAATAATAATCATTACATCTTTTAATTTGGATTCCGCAACATATTTTCCCCCCTTAATTTTATTTCTAATTTCAAAAAAGTAAAAGGTCATCACACAACCCATTACCCAGGTCGTTACAACACAGGAGGCTGATAGGCACACAGCCAATATCTCAGCCACACATGTTCTTACGAAAAAGCCAGCCAATCTGCAAACATCAACTACATCAACCAATCAAGAAATGACAACACAGCCAACCTCCCCACCAGTATATATAGGGAGACGGTAGCTCCAATCATGCTTTGCTCTCACAAGCACTAAGCTGAAAGCACCAGCCTGAAGATGGTGAGTGGGACCTCATCAAAACGTTGCCAAGATGTTCTCAATCTTACACGGGAAAAGACCCAAACACGCCAAGACCTGCGTTCAGGTATTTTCCCACGTCATTATAGTTGTACTTTTAAAGTTGTAGCAACATTTTGGCAGAATCTCATCTGCCATCATCAGGCTTGTGAGTCAGACAAACACTATACAGAAGCCTGATGATGGCAGATGAGGTTCTGCAGAAACGTTGCTTCAACTTTAAAAGCACAACTATAATGAGGTGGAAAATACCCGAACAAAGCTGAATACCATACATATAAATACCCGCGAAAACTGAAGAATATATATACTCTCAACCAATCAGAATGAAGAAAAAACCATTCTGGCACAGCAATAGGCTGCCCCAAATTTAAATCTGAAACCACTGTAAAAGTCTAACTCACAGACGAACACAATACAAAAGCCTGATGATGGCAGATGAGATTCTGCTGAAACGTTGCTACAACTTTAAAAGCACCACTACTATGACGTGGGAAAATACCCGAACAAAGCTGAAGGCTATATATTCGCACAAGGATCAATTGTATAGAGGGTTTAAGATAAGGTTGAAAACAAGGTCCCACAAACTGTTGAGGACGAAAGTGTTTTTAACTGTTTTCTGATCTTTTTTTCTATTTTTCTTTTGTTCTTTTTTCTTTTTCACATTTATGTATGTGTTGTTTGTCTGTTTTAATTGTAAAATTAATAAAGTTTATTTTTAAAAAAAGAAAGAAAGCACTTCCCCTCCTTTCCCTTCCCCTCCCCTCCCCTTTTCCATAACTAATATTATATTATTAATAATGTTGACCCCCATTAAGTCATTGGTCCACTGTTTCAAAAAATCCTCCCTTGGATTTGCAGTGTAAAAAAAGAAAGATGTCAGATATGTTTCTGACTGATTGACAAAAAATACCACAGGGCCTTAGCCATAGAATATGGATCGTTTCTTGGTGTCCCATTTTTCAGTACAAATCCTTTATCATTAAGGGATTGTGTATGAGCAGTAAAAGCAAAAAAATTAATTAGGAACACAGGGCTGCCATTATACTTTATAAAAGCCTACATTTCTGCCAGTCCTTTGCCAAGGTATTGGTCAAAATACATGAATATCCCTATTTTTAATCTTTTTCTTTTGTATACACACTTTCAAATTTACAATGTTATATTTAAAATATTGAAGTGCAACAATCTTTCCTAATACCACTTCCAGCTAAAATAAAACTTCATCGCTAAATAGAATTGCCTGTTTCTAAGGGAAAACCTTTATTCTGGCGTCAGAGAAAGAGGTGCCATCTGAACTTAACAAAAAAAAAAAAATCTTGAAATTCCTTATTCTATCACGTCTTTGTTT